AAAAAAAGCCAATAGGAGCTAAGAATTCATAACATAACTATCTCTAAGAGAAATAATCTTTAACTATCTCGTTCCTGGAAATATAATATGCATTAATAGTTATTTTAAAATAATAATATATTAGTATTAATACCAGTTCACAAAAATCCCAATCATGTTGTAGGTAGAAATTATTATGGAGATTACGGAGAGAAAATAAATCACACACAGCATGAATTCATAAACTTGAGACTTGTAACTTTGGCTACGTACAAACAAGTAAGTGAGAAATACCATCGGACAAGAGCTCTTTTATGTGAAGATGAGAAACAGCATTTTATTTAATTACTATTATTATTTTGATCAGGGACGATCCCAGAGGATAATGATTCCTATAAATGATTCATTGTTATAAGTCACCTCATCCTCTCAGTAAACTCCTACATACATCCAAAAGCTAAAAAGCCAGCTTGCATGAGTTCACTGGCACAATTAAAGGATTAATTAAAAGATTAAATCTATTAGAAGCCTTGGATTGGAGCAACTCATGTTTGCGAAGTGCAAAACTCTGCATTTATCTTTGGAGGATAAATACATTAAGACAGACACGCTGCCGTAAAAATATAAGCTATTTATTTTGTAAGACAGACGGGTGATCTCAGCAGAAAGGAAGTTTAGCCTCATGGAACAGGGGGTTCAGAATGACATCTTGGTTGATCAAGTCTACAGTCATGTCTGTCCCCTGCTATTCAGTAAGCCTTGTCACAGCAATTAGGTGAGGGGACTGGCTGTAATGTGACTGTCACCTGGTGTTTAATTAACAATTGCAAAAAAGATATGACATAACCGATCATGTCCCTGAACTGTTAAAAAATAATTTTAAAAATGCTTTCATCACAATTAGAGAGGACTTAAATCAGTAGAATTTACACAATTTCAAAGCATTCAGACTTCAAAAAAATTAAACCATCAACTGGGTTATTCAAATAGATGTTTACTTTTCTCCTGGTAAGGCTCTCCCAAAAATGATTTACCAATATGGGAATTTTTTTTTAAGATGGTAAATGAAATAAAGTGATGCCCAACTACCTAGAATCTCTTTACACCAGTACCTTTATAAATGAAAAGCAGATGCCAGCTCACCACATCCTTTGAAGGAAAGGATGGGATAATTTCTCAGACAACAATAATGGTGAGAGGACCTCTAACTGGAAAATTAACAAAAACTGCTACAGTACCAACCATCTTGTAAATGCTTCAGTTCCTTTTCTGATCTTCTGTCATGTTCTTATCTTTGCTCTTCCTTTGTTTTATCTGTAGCATTCCACATGTGAAGTAGTAATATACCCAACAGCAACCTGGAGTGCAGTTTCTAGATGTTTCCAGATTAAATACTAGCCTAGTCCACACCGGGGCTAAGCAGCGGGTCACACAGTACCAACAGCAAAGAAAGAATGCAATGAGTATCTCTCTGACCAGCATTTGTTTTTGCTTTTTCAACTCAGCCTGAGTCTGGATAAGGCAAAAGAGAGACATATGACTATGTCTTCCTCAACTTACTTGTAACAAATTAAAGCATCTAATGCTGATGTGGTGACATTTTTTTGTCACTCAGCACAGGTAAGAACTGGATGCTAGGAGATGACCATGCCTTCAATAAGCAGCACTCCATGAGAAGGAGTCAAACCAGATGAAGCTGCTTGAATGTACTTGCATGCTTCAGGGATTTCACACACACACTCCCCAACATGTTCAAGGCAGCTATTCATGTCAGGAGCTGTACTGTCCATGAATGCTGAAATTCACTGAAAATATTGTAGAAATAAGACCTTTGGAAGGTAGAACAAATCAGTCTATTTATCTTCTCACTGGCCAAACATCATCAGATCATGGTGTTGGATCAAGACCATAAGCCACACTCTGTCAGGCCATTCCCCTTTCTTTGAAAATACACAAGTTGTAACTAGTGAAACACTACCAAAAAAAAAAAAAAAAAAAAACCAACCCCCCCCCCCCCCCAAAAAAAAAAACAACAAACCAAACCCAAAAGCAAAGCAGATACTAGTCTGGTTCTAATCTATCTGAAACACCAAAGTTACTGGGTTTTGACTCATCTTGAGGTGAAAATTAATTATACTTTCTTGTGAATATTAATAAAGATTTTAACTTCATTTTGTCCAAATGTTTTGTTTAAAAATTAAAATGCATTATATTAAGACACAGTATTCAGGCATAACATATAGACTGGCATAAATATAGATTTAGAAAAGTCAAAGAAGGAAATCGGAGCATGATTTTAGCACCTACCGATTCAGGTCAAAGCACAAACTAAAAGTGACGTTAGCAAGTTTTCTGCCCAATGCCGATTTACCTTCCATGTATTTTTTGAGCATGTAATTTAATCCTCCACCACGTACATGTATGTGCTCATTATAGCATGATAGCCAATGACAGAAGATCAAGTATAGTTTCATGTTTTTACATCTTGCTAATAATGTAAAATACAGAGTGAGTAAGTATGCCATCATATATTACATTATACTGTAATAGTTAATTTTATCTCTATTAGAAGAACTAAAATGTGTTGGAATTCCATAGTAAAATGTAAAGAACCAGTAGTGACCAGTATTTGAGTTTGCTCAGTTAATACTTATTTCTCAGACAGGAAGTTTTAGCTTATATATCAAGGAAAGGTGATAACAGAAATATTGAAGAACAAAGAAAATATAAACACAAAATAAAAAGAATTATAAAAGTGCATGATGAAAGAAAAAAAGAGACCAAAAGCATAAGGAAATGGAGACAGTTCAATAGAAAATTCCAACATAGTACTAAAAAAAGTTTTCTTTTTTGTGTTTTACAAGAAAAAAAATTAGCATTTTCATGGACATCATAGGACAGAAGTTACCATAAATGCCTACATGAGTACACATTCAACACCATCATCAACAAATTAGATATTTTTTTCTTCTCAATTATCTTTTCAAGTCAACGTGGTATCAAAGGAAGACTGAAATCAAGCATCTATCTTCTTCCAGCTTACACATCCAAACTCTCTCAATCTTTAGAGAATGGATCAGCTTCTGGTGGATCTTCTGAGATTAATAGGCTTACCAAAATTGTTATGAACAAAACATTAAAACTAAACACTAATGCTGGGATAAAACTAAGAGAAACTGTTCCTTCCTACTAGTTTTTGAAGTGCTGTATCACCTGTGCCTTACAGATCAGCTCTCCACTAAAAATTACTTCAGGCTTGGGTGAGAGACTCTCTGATAGAGCAGGGGTGTGTTATCTTGATTGGAAGAAAGGCCTGGGAGTCATTCTACTAGCTCTGGACACTTAAGTTAAGAACTGGAAGTCTAAGATAAACCTTGTTTCCTCCTACAGTCATGTATTTATGCAGCCTGAATGGATTCTGCCTACCCAAGAAAAACCTGAATCACTCCCCAGAGGTATTTACTTTCCTCCACAGAGAATTGGTAGACCTTAAGCCTCTGATGCCTTCCAACACACAAAGTCAGATTAGGCCATTTTATGTCTTCTGTCATAACCAGTAGATTCTCTAAATTATCAAGTTGTAAGCACAAAGAGTCACAGTGTTTGAAAATGATCACGTATGATTTACTTGGTATGCATTTGCATACACCACCTGCCCAAAGTCATTGATATACTTAACATCTATTAGGGATCAAAAGCTAGGAGGTAAAATACACTTGCTTAAATGGTACTAGCTGATGGAGCAGCCGTAAGGCCAATTTTAAAAAAGAATACAAGCAACTCAGCAAAAGAGTATACACATTTCAGTATGGTATCCTAGATAGTATTCAAAATGAACACAACTAGAATAGACCTGTAAAAAAATTTGTTTCAGTTAAACCGTAAATGACTTATGAGGAACATGCATTTACAATAATAAGAAAGAGCATTACTTTTTTTTTTTTTTCCTCTGTAGCCTGCGCCAAAGCCTGTGTACGAGGGCTACGTGCTTTTGCAGAGGGAAAACCTGGAGGACTGAAGAATCTACTCATTTCTATGCCCTTTTAAAGAAAGCTCCTTTTCATAGCCATATTCAACACTGCAAACTTGTATTTAGCCTGTGTGGCTGGGAATGTTTATGTTTTTAATACACTGTGTTGGAACAGTGTTCAATTTGTGAGATTTGAAAGCAGTGACTCTAGCAAACACTGCCACGCTTAGATTGAATACTACATTGATTTTAGCGGCATTAACTCCCAATTAAACTTTGGTAAGGGGAAAGAAATCACGATTGCACTCTTTCTGAAACAAAGGGAGCTTATCCAAGGTTTGTCTCCTTCACAGAACAAGCAAAAGAGCTACTACTCCAAATGTAAAAAAAAAATTCTCAAGGTCCCTCTTCTGTTTCTCAAGGAGTTGAACCAAACCAGAGCAAACAGTCATCCCTACTTTCTTTTCATTTTTGTGACTGACTTCACGTCCCTGATTCTTGAACATAAGGAAATCTCCACTAGTCTCAAGATTCCCCTTCAAGGAAACAAACTTACTCTAGGACACTAGAGAGATATGAAATTTCACAGACTTTAAAAGTAGCAATGAAGTCTGAATTTGGTATGGAGACATTAAACAGAATAAAATATTTTCACGGTTCAAAGCTGCACTAGGGGAGGTTTAGACTGGACATGAAGAAGCATTTCTTTACTGAGAGGGTGGTCAGACACTGGAACAGGCTTCCTAGAGAGGAGGTCAGTGCCCCAAGCCTGTCAGTGTTTAAGAGGCATTTGGACAATGCCCTTAACAACATGCTTTAACTTTTGGCCAGCCCTTAATAGGTCAGGCAGTTGGACTAGATAATCTCTGTAGGTCCCTTCCAACTGAAATAGTCTATTCTATGAAAAGTAGTATTCCAATAATATTTAGTCAGTAAATTAAACAATTGTAAACATTTTTTAGTAGATGAATTGACAGGTGTACATTTTTGCACTCAGATGAAAGATGTGAAAATTTCTGAAGAAGTTTCTTTACACAAGTAGACGTGTCTACAATCAAGTTTGTACTATCACATGACAATTGTATTTTAACAAGTCCCAAAGATTTGCTTATATAACTCTCGGAGGGAAACACCAGCTGATTCTCATACACTTTTTGCTGTTGCCCTGATGCTATTTACCCAGGAAAAGTGCCAGTTTAACAGCTGAGCAATGAAGAGGTAGAGCAGCTCACTGATGGATGGCAGTCTCTCCCCTACCACAAGCTGGTCTCACCAGTGGACGGGTATCTTTTCCCGAAACCCCGGCCCAGCACCCCAAAAGACCTTTGCTCCCTCCCTCTCCGCTTCAACGTGAGGAAACACGACGCCGACGAGATTTAAGAAACTACGGAGCTGCCCACCCCGTTCGGCACCCTTGTTCCTGGACACGCGTTTCCAGCCCAGCCCTCACCGTCGCCGCGGAGCCAAAGCGGCACCCGGACAAACCCGGCTTCCGCTGCCCCCGCGGTACCTGGTTGTGGTGCAGGTGGGTCAGCGGCAGCACGGCGCTCAGGGCCGGCGCGGCGCCCAG